GTAACCCCCCCCCCCCCCCAAAAGTTATTTTGATTTTACTTTTTATTATTTTAAGCTTTGACCCAGTATTAACTTGATAATTTATGTATTGCAAAATAAAGATGCATGAAGTGATGCTCTCATATTAAATATTTGAATGACTAGAGTCAACCTGACAGACATGTAATTTTATAAAGTATTTGTTTGTGTTAACAAGTTAAAAATTCAGTTGAAATAGATTTGTTATACCTTTTCTGCATGTAGATTCATCAGACAAAATCTTGTAATTGTCCGGAGTAGTCATTCATCAGTTGTTTAATGAATAAAATCAGCTGTTCTTGAAAATCTTTTGTTCATTTTTTTCTGCTTTGTGAATTACATATGTGCATGTAACCCTGGGATAGGGATTTTGGGTGAACTATCACTTTAAATCAAACAGTGACTTCACTTATTAGGCCACAAAATCCTAAAAAGAAGTCTCCTTTAACAGTTTAAATTGAATATTTCTTCTATTCTCCATGGGGGACTTGGCATCTTTTTGCTTTTTTGAAAGTAAATGACACAAAGTGATCATTTTAGCTAGGTTTACTACGATATTAAAGGAATATCCTGCAGATATAAATGATTAATTATCAAATTTTAGGAAAACAACCAAATTTACAATTTATATAATGTCTTTATTATTATATATATATATATATATATATATATATATATATATATAAAATATACATATATATATACATATATATATATATATAATTAATAAAGACATTTAAATGTATAAAATATTACATTAAAACATTTAATGTTTTAAATATATAATTTATTATTGGTCACTACAATGGTGTGACATTTTTGTATATTTCCTTTAATGCTTTCGTCTTTCTACTGTTCACATTTAGCTGTTACTTGGCAGGGCCCTGTGACAACTTATTTATCCCATATAGCGGGGCACGTTGTCACAAAATGTCAATTAACTTTTTTTTTCTGCTATAACCGAGAAAATGAATTGATTCAAATTAAGTACCTAAAGGGAAATTGACTCGTAAAAATAAAACCACCCTGAGTAATATTTACTGGAGAAAATAGTGTGGCAAACAAGCGCAGTCTGATGCCTAATTCGGTTAATTAGCACGTAACGTTACAATACAATTGTTTTGTATTTTCTTGCGTAAAAAAAGAGGATTTTTATAGTATTTCGGCTTGTATAAGTGGATGTTAGCATGTTCACCTGTAGTACCTCCCCCTAAACATTGTTGCAAACTGTGTTAATGTTGTTGCATTGCGGTTCCGTGAAAGAAAAAAAACCCTGATCAGACGTCATTCGGCCAATCGCCTGCCTCTCAACTGGGGCTTTCCATCATGGCGTCTATGCAGGTGAGTATAACATACACAAGCAACTATTTTCAAATAAGAATATAAATAATTTTTCACACATAGCTGTGACACGTTCCGGGTTTCGTCCAGTGTCCCTGCCAGTGCTAATCTGAACCCAGGACAGTCAGCTGTTTCATTTGTACGCACATTTGTTTACTTTGTAAGCTAACGTTCAGTCAGTCTGACAACCCAGCAAACTGTGCTGTCACATCACATACTGTTGTGGAGGTAGAAGACGATACTTATAAAGAGATGTGAAACGGGAATTATGCAGCAGAGTTCTTCCGAAGCTGTAAATAATGGTGTTGAATCGCTAGCTTCTATAGCAATGCAACTCGTTTGATTGACTAGCTCGCTGTTAGCAGTCTGTTTGCTAGTTGTATTTTTCAGTACTTTTCGGACAATAGGATTTAATTAAGGGGAAGTGTTTAAAATTATACACCTTGTATTAAAATGATGAATTATGATGTAATGATGTAATGAGGGCTGTCCTGTTTTTACTTTGAGGCATCCCTTAAATCAAGTTATTTTCACTTTTCAGAAGCGATTACAAAAGGAATTGTTGGCATTGCAAAGTGATCCACCTCCTGGAATGACACTTAATGAGAGAAGTGTGCAGAACACAATCACTGAGTAAGTTCTGAGATGTGTAAAGATGCAAGATCGAGCAGTCAAGCAGCTGAAGCTGGGTTATATATTGACAACCTGTAACCTTTCCTTAAAGTTGGCATGCCATGAAAATGCATGTATTTTCTAAATTCATGTAATAGATTTATCTGTGAACAATTCATCCATGCTTTTTTTTTTTTATAAATGTTTTGACCTCATAATGTTTAATCAGTATGTCAACCGGATCTTCCAGTAAAAATGACAGAAGTGTGATGTATGTGGACTTCTCCAAAATGCAATCATCTTAAACTCCGCCCTTTTAAGCCCAGGATTATCTTCCTCCACTTCTGAGTACTAAAGTACTACTTCAGTTTAATTTACTCCCCCTTATGTTATTGCAAACTTATGAGACTTTAGTTCATCTTTGAAACACAAATGAAGATATATTTTAATGAAATCTGAGAGATTTCTGTCCATGTAACCAAAACGTTTACTAGTAAAAAAAAAAAGTTTATAAAGAGATTGTAAATGTTATCAATATCAACGGTTTGATCCAAGTCTTTTGAAGAGACATAAAAGCATTTATAATTGACATATAAATATTGATAATTTGACACATACATATAACACTTAAAAAGTAGTAAACAAATGCTTAAACATATTTGCATAACATGCATGTTTTTATAACCCTTTAAAATCATTAAAGATTTGGCCGAATGGACTTTCAGTGGAGGGACAGAAATTGCCCAGGTTTCATCAAAATATAGTGTTTTGAAGATGAACGATAGTCTCATGGGTTTGGAACGGCATGAGGGTGAGTAAAGAAGATACATTTTCATTTCTGGGTAGACTAACTTTAATCTATTTAAGTTTCTGTACTGAATGGGTTAATAAGCGAGGAATCTGTGATTGTATTCTCATATACACAACTTTGTGTTTGTCCAGGTGGTTGATAGATATGGAAGGTGCTCCAGGTACTCTCTATGATGGAGAGAAGTTTCAGCTCCTCTTCAAATTCAGTAGTCGATATCCTTTTGATTCACCTCAGGTAAAGTCTGAATCTTTTAAAATATGTTGGTGTTTTTTTTTGCCTACGTGAAAAAGCTGAATGCTTGTTGCTAATATATATTGTTTCTAGGTAATGTTCACTGGAGAAAATATACCCGTCCATCCGCACGTCTATAGCAACGGTCACATCTGTCTATCTATTTTAACGGAGGACTGGTCACCAGCTCTGTCTGTGCAATCTGTTTGTTTAAGCATTATTAGCATGCTTTCAAGCTGCAAAGAAAAGGTAAATTTAGCCTTTTAGTTAAAGGGGTCATATGATGCAATTTCAATTTTTCCTTTCCCTTTGAAGTGTTACAAGCTCTTGGTGCATAAAGAAGATCTGTAAAGTTGCAAAGACTAAAGTCTCAAATCCAAAGAC